AAAAAAAAAAAAAAAAGCCAAAAACCTCTATCGTCATCAACTATTTGAGATGGAACAATCCGAGTGCACATACACTCTCTAGTGAGACTTTCGATGGTCCCAAATTTATGGAATTATAATTTTTTTAAGCTCCGTTTTTCTGAGTCTTCTTTTTTTTTTTTCATCGGCTGATGAATGATTGCAGAAGAGGTTCCGCGAAGTAAGTCGCCATCAGGAGGTGCAGCTACCATTGGCAAGAATAAAGAAGATCATGCGATTAGATGATGACGTCAGAAGTATGGTAAGTTTTTAACTGAAATTCCACCTCAAAGAACTTGGAATATGCAAAAATTCTGCTGACCAACTCTGAAGCGATAAAGTGTTTATTTCGTGAGGATGATGGATTGAAACTGGCACATCAGAATTGTTGGGCGTACATTCGGCTGAATAAGTGCCTTCTGTTAAACAGTGGAGCTCCATCGCACGATTCTTGGTTTAGAATACCAGTAAATTTTGTTTTTTTTTTGAAACTTCTGTTTATAGATGATTGGTTCGGAGGTGCCTGTCTTACTTGCAAAGGCGTCGGAAATTTTCATCCAGGAATTGGCGCTTAATTCATGGAAGAAAACAGACGAGAATAGACGAAAAACCCTCCACAAATCAGACGTTGCTCAAGCTCTGGCCATGTATTTTTTTTTTTACATATATCTTCTTAAAAAAGTTTTTTGTTCTTTTTTGATGCACAAACGGAACTTTTTTTCGGCTTTGATAAACAAACGGGAAATGTATCCAACAGTTTATTAGTGCTTTTTATGTGCTTGCGAGTCTTTCACTTTATTTTTCCTAGTTTCTGCAAAGACTTTCCAAATTAAAGGGGGGGGGGGAGCATTTTTGAAAGTTTTTGATTTTTTAGAAAGGAAAACTTTTGTCTTTTTTGAAAATAAGCTAGCTTATTGGTTGTTTTTTTTAAATTTATGTGTTAATATTTTATCGCTTGAAAAGTACTTTTTAGTAACGAAATGTACGATTTCCTGATTGACATTGTACCACGAGAAATTCCAAAGAAATTATCTCAATCAGGCGGTGCTGTAAGTCATGTTCTTTGTTTTGTTTTCCAATACACGTGCACCATCAATATTTAACAATGCTGCGGTTATCACAGGTTTTCAGAGCCTTCAAATTTTAATACGTCTACGATCCCTTGATGATAAAACGACCGCTGATTAAAGCCTTTTTTTACAAATCTCCGAAATTTAAGGCCTTTCTATTTTCCGGGTCATGTCGTGGGCCTCAGCTAGTTTGCGTTTGTCTTAATTTATCTAGGAATATCAAATTTGTGCGGTTTTCTGCTTATACAAAAAGATAAAAGTTCATATTTTTACAGAAACACAAACAACAAATGCAAATGCAAGATCAACAAGTACAAACAGTCATTACCGATACAAGCGGCCTCCTCACCACAGATCCAGGTGTTCAATATGTTTTGCAGGTAGCTTTGTTCTTCCTAATTTTGCTAAGCTTTAATGCGTTATCCAAAGATTAAGAGCTGTGCAGCTGAACAGACGCAGACGTGCTAAAATAGAAGGGGGAGAAGGTGTCATGAGGGCCCAACCAAGAAGTGATCATTCCAAATAGGAACGTCAACGTTGTGGTGGACGAGGCAAATTTATGCTAAAGTAAATTTATGCTTGATTTTTAATAAAAGTGCTTGAGAAAAATGCCTTAAACTAACGTTATTCTGCTGCCAAATGTCAGTAAATTTTTGAATGGTTTAATGGTTCCCAGCATAATTTCATCAGTTAAAAATTATTGTTTGAAGTTTTCTAATTACCTTCGATAGGTATTTGCTGCTTGTGGATTTCTGTTCGGGATGCCTTAATTTACATATCTGGCAATAACAAAAATCCAATTCAAATTATCTGACGATCAGTTAGCGCTGCTTTTGTGCACAAGAAGCGTGTGGAATTCACTGATTCCTATCCTTTTTCGAGGAAAATGTCTAAGTGAATGACTCTAGGTTTCTTAACTGCGGAGATTTTTCATGTATCATAGTGAAGGAAAAGAACGTTTTTTCTAGAAAAAAAGGCAGCCATTAAAAAAAAATTATGAGAATACCGGTCAACTCTAATGGCTTTTTGGCTTTTTTCTTTAAATCATGTGTATTTGAGACTTCTTTAAATATGAACACATCTTAACTGGCCTTTTACCGCATTTCCTTAGCTCCTCAGTCTTTCTCTTCGTTCTTCTTCCCCTTTTCTCCTTTCCAAAAAATTACTTTCTTCCAATTGTAGTTATAAATGCAATTTGGACAATTTACCTGATGTTATTTCTCTTTTCGGCAGCGACATCTTTGCCAATGAATATTTATAGTACATAGCTTTTGTTGATCCATTCAGCACTAGTTGTTAATTGCATTAATTTATGATCACCGCAAACTTTGCTTAGGTGGGATCGGGCGATGGAACGCTGGCAACAGGCTCAGTGGTGCAAGCCACGCAAATTGGGCAACCCATTCAGCTGCCGATCACACAGGATAGTCAACCGATCCAGCTGATCACATTGAGTTTACCGACCGATGGTATACAGGAGTTCCAGCTTCAGCTACCTCAGCCAGAATAACGGCTATTGATATAGTTTTGCAGATTCCCGAAATTTTTACTTGTATATTTTGTACATTGGTTGTGGAACGACAAAATTTCGTGAACGAAAATAAAATGTGAAATCAGCTATTCCGATGTGTTTGACATTAGTAATCATTGGCCGGTGCGTTTTTGTTGCTGAACTGTATTTGAAGCCAGCTTTATAAGGAGGTTACTTGAAGCAGAGACCAGCAGCATCGATTTGTTCTGCTTCAACAACGATAACAGGCCGTTAAATCACACCAGACAGCGCCCTTATAAGATCCTAAAAGATCGTATTTTTGTAGATATTAAACAGCACTGCCGCCGAAGCAACATAGATAACTTAGGTAGCAACTCCTTACTTCCAAACACAGTTACAATTGCAATATGAAATTTTAAATTAACACAAGAAACATGGATGATTTTAAGTTTGTTTAAGTTCCGACGATGATCCGTTTAGACCAAATTTTGACTAATCTTATTTAGGAATCCATGCTATTTGTTTTGGTCTTAAAATGAGTTATGGATAGGAGCCTACTTCTTAAATATTGACATTCATACAACGGATTTAATGTACAGTTGTTTCGGAAACCATTTGATTTGAATGTGGATAGTTGTTTTTTTCTCGAATAATTACTTGTTTTGCATTTATTTGATTCGTTTCTTCTTGACATTCCACGTTCTGAATAGACTGATTCGCAATAAAACATGATCTTTGTAGCTTAATTCTATTGCATTTGTCCCAAGCTTTTTTTATATTTTAACCGTCAATCCACCAATATCAGCAGAGAAGTTGACTTTGCAAGATATTGCAGAATGAGCTCTGATATTTTTGTATTTTCTACTTTCTTTTTTTGCTCTAATATTTTTGTATTTTTTTTTTTTGCACTTTATCATGTTGTTTGTTAATGTACATTGTTGTATTTTTTCCAGCAAATGTATGACTCAAATTGTTTGCTTGAATGAAAGAAAATTGCTTGTCGATAGTCGATTGCGATACCAGTGAGTCTTGTAATGTTTCCCTCGTCAGCATGCTTTTCGTCTAAAAACGTGTAACAAAGTTAGTGTTCACTGAAATGAACCATTTTCAAAGATTGGTCTTCTGAAGATTAAGACTCCTGAGTAGTTGGTAACATAGGAATACATGAATTGATGGTCTTGTCAGTACTGGCCGTTTTGGTGGAGAAAAAAACTGAAAATCTCGTAAAACAGATAAGTAGAGGTGGGGAGGGATAGCCATTTCAGAAAATGCTCGAATTATGTAGTGAAAACTGTAAAAATGACTGTAAGTTGGGCTGTATAATTAGAATTCCGAAATTATGTGTATATATGAATATGTGTGATATATTAAAAGTATGCTGCAGTAGCTGGTATCTTTGAATGCGTCGTGTAATCGCACTAAGTTCAACACGAGATTGTTGTTGAAAAACGCCGCATCAGTGCTTTACCGAATTAGTAAAGCGAATTCAGTAAAGGAATACTGGGTGAAATGCATCAAATCTCACTTCGGTCAATTATAGAAATAAATTTTTTATTAAACAGTAAATTTATAAAAAACGATAGGTTTCACTTGAGCGGAGAATTTCCAGTTTCTTTTGTCCGGTTATAGAAAAAATAAAAATTTCATGAAAGAACTATTCTTACATAGGAGGACTAATTCTTTGTTGAGATTTTTAATAACACTAATTTCTGTCTAAGCAGGGATGATAAGACCAGCGATTCTGAAAGTTCGTTTGATTTATAACCAAAGCAGAGCTGTACAACGTCATCGGTGCGATTATGCGTTTTTGCGCTAGACTTGAAGCAGACAGGTCGTTAGCAGCATAAGTGGTTGCTGCTTTGTAATTTAACAAGTGGCTGAGAGAGAAAATGCTCAAATTGACTAAATTCGAATCGGAAAAACCATGAAATTTCATCAGAATTACGTTAAATACAAACAAATTACCATAAACGATTCAAAAAGCAAAAGTATGACCCTATTAATTAGCTGGTTTCGAATTTTTTACAGAGCCTCCCTCCGGTCGCCATTTGTCCGATGGCGCAAAGCCGATCTCTCAAGGATGTGGCCTCTATAGCGAGGATATTTGCAACAACAAAATCAATCCTTCTGGAATCCAAGGTCGGACTGGCACCATTACTACTGGGTAGATTAGCCCTGTGGGCACATGCACACAGTTGGTGATCAATTTGAGCAGCGTCGAGCAGGCGCTACTCCGTCACAGAACAGCTCCAGTGAGCGAGTCTTCATTGTACGTTATCTCGATCAGCACAATCCGCGCGTCCAATGAACTCCGACCCACTTGATCCGAAGGGAAATCTTCCTCATCGATACAGTGCTAATAGGCCGTCTACCTCACATCCAGAACCTCCTAGATCATCCACTCCACGGGCAAACCTCGCACGTCCGGTCACTCCAAAGTCCAGCTCACGGAAGAACGTCCCACATCCGCCTACTCCAAAGTCCAGCGCACGGAAGTACGCCCCAAATCCTGCTACACCAAAGCCTACTCCGCATGAGAGTGCTAGCAGTGACAGTTCGTCGCGTGTACCTACTAGGCGATGGATTTGTTATAGCCCATCTTTCTCGCCTTGTTCATCGCCCATTTCCCAAGAGAGCTCACCAGTCAATGTTATTTTGCATCCTCCAACTTTTTCGAAGGCAAGCCATCCTCAGCCGACTGTATCATCCGAAAAACGCCCCGGTGACCTGTCTTGTGAACAGCCAAAAAGTACCAGCCAATTTTCTGTGTGGAGAAATCTCCGAGGCCCATCCTCATCACGTGCTAGTCTTCCTCTACCAGTATTTGCACCATCTCCATCCACTTCGCGCGCGTGTTATCCGAGTCCACTTGCTTCACGAGAAGAATGTCCTACAAGCGAACAGTCCTATGCAAGCGAACATTCCTCAGTTACGATCAATCAGGAGGTAAATCATTCCTGTTTTTGCACTGCTAAAATATTTACACGTAAAATGTAGCGATATGATTTTGAACATTTCGTCAAAACTCTAACTTCTAGAAACTGAATCCGCCATCAGCTTACTTTTAAGCAGCTCTAGAAACTGGGCGCCATCAACAACCATGCCCGCACCTGTTTGTTTTGGTACATGTTGCTCCCGGACACCTTCCGAACGTCTTTGTCTCTCATAAAAAACGAATACGGAAGAGGTTTTGATTTTGATATAAATACGGAGGAGGTTTTGGCTTCGTCAGATACTGAATGATACACCAGAGTTGTTAGATTTTACGATTTGTGATGTTACGGTGCGTTCGAACTTAATTTTGCATGTTCTGCAAATGAATCATAACGAGTCGGAGCTCTGTCTATGTTCAAATATCTGGTTTTTCCACAAAAAGTTTAAAAGTTGTAAGCTGTTAGCCTTGCACACAAATTAGCTCACATCCTCGTCATCTCCTTCTTTTTTGGACTTGTGAACTCCGATTCAAATTTGTGAGTGAAGAACCGGAAAAAATACAAATTGTCAAATCCGTTTTGTTCATTTTCAAAAAATCTGGCTAGACAAAACACAATCAAGATCTTAGAGCTTTAGTTGCATGTCAAAATTTTGGCTAATTTTTACGGCTTGAAATACTGAGAAGAGAACAAAGTGGAAGTTTCCAAGATTCTGCTTGGAATCAAAAAACAAATTTCATCTCTTCCCATATTGTACTGTAGGAAACTAGATTCAAATTTCAGATGTATTTATGATTTCGGAACGTATGGAACTAAGAATTTTTCATAATTGTGAGGTCGAGTTGTTCAGGAGGACGTACTCACACGCACAAACGCATGCGCACTTTGGAATGCACAAAACAGCTAGAGTGCGACTTTTTTTTTTTGTTTGTACAAAAATGCCCGTAAAAATTTTATATTTTTAGCAGCAGCAACAGCAGCAACAGACAGAAAAGCGACGTCGAACTCCGCTGAGCGAAACGACTTGGGAAGATTACAGCTCCGTGCAGGTAATCCTATAGAAGATTTTAAGAAGTGGCGCTGCACTTGTTCTGGCCTCGCTACTGGGAAAGCTTCTTCCTTACGTAGCTTGTTCTTCTTTAAGACATCACTAATTTCCTTTCAGGCCGATTCACAGGACGGAGCGTGGACAGTAGGATCGGTGGAGTGCGAAAGTCAAGGATCTCATTTGGTTGCCAAAAAGAAGGGATATCTCACTCAGTCAGCTGTTCGCCCCGCTAAACCTGTGAGACTGCCAGTTCGTCGACGAACCCGATCCCACTGAGTGGTCACTTGCTATTGTTTCTGGCTATCTCGGACTTTATTTCTTTTCTTAATCGGTTTGTTTGCTTACATTTATCTGTGGTAATTCCGGAAGACACCGAGTTCACGCCTCAAAAGTGTTCAGTAAACTTCCCTACCGTATCTGCCTGTTGCATAATTCGTCTCAATGTGCAATCTCACGACTCTGCGTAGGGCAGCCAATCGCATCTCCCTGTGTGCAGTGACGAGTGACCGTAACCCTGTAACTTATCTTGTAACGTCACAAAACGCGAGGAAACAACTCATCTTTTTTGACAAATTAGTCCAAACGCAGAATTTTTCGAAAAATGGCTGCTCCGCACGAAGTACAGGAACCAGTCAACTGTTATTTTCAAGTTCCAGAATTTCGCTGGTAGCTGGTCCTCGGAGTACATCAAATTCGTTGTAAAATACTGCTCATTTTTGCTTCAGCTGTGCAGATTTTCATTCTGTTAACAAATTTGCCGTCACACAAAGACAAATTTAACTTTGTCTCTATTTGAAATTCATCCCTTCCTTTGATCATATATGTATTCTTGATTTTTTGCCTGTTTTGATTGACTTTTCAGTGATTTGAATTGTAGCTACAATGTGATTGATACGATATTTCTTGATGTCCTTCAACCTATTCCATCTGAAAAATACACAATTCCTCATTTTTCCGACTGAAAGAAATGAGTTATTTACAGGAGCATCAAATACGTATGGGGTTTTTTTGCTTGCTTTTCAAATGACAGTACCCTCTAATCCACTTCTCCATCGCTAACGATCAGTTGCATTTCAGAATAAGGGAGAATTACATTTGGAACTATTCTCCCCGGGAATTCCTGGGGTGATGTTCCGAGCGCTTTTTTGATTCTATACTCGAAATGCTCTCGCACTTGCAGAGTTATGTTTATTCTATTTTTTACAGACTACTTCCGTATAAAAATGAATTGCTTTGTTTTTCCGCTGAGTTACACAGCAAGTTTATGAAAGATATTGGCCGTTTTAACGGTGAACAAAACAGAACTCAACATAACTGAGCTAATCAGCAATCAATAAGGCAAGCAAAGGGGAGAAAAAAAGAACCATTCTCAACAAATTCTCAAATTTTACAATCATAAAGTAAACAGTACGGACAAAACGGAACAGCCACTAGTACATGTGGAGTGTCCCAGAGAATCATGCATGTGGGAACCGAATTTTGAAACCTAGGCGTGGGATGCTTGGGCAAATGCCAGAGGACCGGATAAGGCGTGGAATTACTTCGTTGATGAAATGTGTCGCAACATGGTGCTTTATAAAACATACAATAAAAGACAATAAAGCGATTTCAGGAAAAAGTGACCAGTAACAGTACAAGGAAAATCAAATTCATCCCGTTACAGAAATAAATTCTTAAGCGACGGCCAAACAAACAAAACGAACGAAATACTCTTCAAAAGAAATAAAGTGACAAATAAAAATTATTAAAATTAAAAAAAAAACAATATACAGTGTCAAAAAAAGACAAAAATAAACCAATAAAATTGCGGACGGCATTGCATAAGCATCAGCAGCACCTCATTGGACGTGCCCGCAAAATACTTCAAATGAAAAAAAAAAAAAAATTATGCACGCATAACACATAGTACACAGGGGAACGAACGAAGTGAACATGTAATTACACAGGCCAATACCTTTCACAGAACAACCCAATATTACTGATCCAAGTCTTTGACAACTGGCGGTGGTGGAGCCCGGAAACGAGGCAGTGTACTTTCGGGATGTTTTGCCGAAGCGGCAGATTCGTGCATGCTTTCCCCCCACTCATCATCTTCTTCCACTCGACAAAGATCGCCACCAATATCGCATGCTGCTCGTCCAGCTAAAAAAAAACCTTATAACTATCACCATAAGACATAGAAATAACCAAAAAAACAAAACAATGGTAAATCTTCAACCAGCCGAATTTAATGTGCCTAGACTCAATCCCTTATTTTTCAATAAAAAAAAAAGCACTTTTAAACTAATTTTACATATTGGCCAGAAACTACACCTTTTTGATAAATCCAAATCCACCAAACACAATTATAATAAGCCTTTTGCATTCTTTTTGTCTCTCCTTCTCTCTCAAAATACGCGAGTGATGCGGCACAGCCGTCCAGGATTAATATCAACCGACAAAAATGCAAAATTCGACTAAATCATATGCACTTTTGAATAAAAAAAAAAAACTAGCAATACGAAGAACCAGGCTGAAATGTTTACCTTGCATCCGCCCAAGATTGTTGGAGCTTGAGCATGACGAAGCTGTCAATGAAATCAGAGAACGTGGACGTCGAGTGCCCTCAAGGAATCCATATTCTCGTAGTCCAGCCAGCTGCAAACATCGCAATGAAAGCATAATCCCGCGGATATTAGGGGTAATACAAAATTTAAAAGTGTGGACAAATAGTTGTAACGAGGAATGATCATTTTTTTAGAACTAACTGCATTCAGTCGCAATGTGATCAAACAAACCGTAGCACGTGGAGGCAAATGTATGTAGGAAGAGGAATGCATCTCGATGCCCATATTTGACTTCTCACGGATGTTCTTTTCTCGACTTCGGATTGCTTGCTCCCATAGCATGTTTCGAATATCCTCGACCCAAGCATCGCGAATGCATGCAGTTTGCGCCTAAAAATTATTGAAAATTTTGCATTCCATTCATTATCCTGAAAAAAAAAAAACGAATTCCATCCAAATGCTCAAAATGCGAAACACATAAAAACCGGAACACATTTTTTCTCTTTTATAAAATTTTCATTTTTGCTAAGGGAAATCCCATACAAAGTTGACTAAAATTAAAAAGCGATCAGTTATTACCTCCATTATGTATGTGAATGAATTCTTTTGCTTTCGAAACCACAATTCAAATTTGACTCTCGAATCCTTCACCATTTCAGTTAAGCCGCAATCAGTCATCTGGAAAAAAGCAGCTTTTTTTTTCAATGTTTCATAGTTATTCCTCACGTCTTGTGCTATTACTTCAAAAAAAGTACTGTAAAGAAAATTATTAATGCTCCATAAGTAAAAATACCATGACTCAACATAAAATGATTTTAAAAAAAAAGACCATAAACATAACAAGACCTTTCGATTAGTAGGGAAATTCTGAATTACCATTGCCTAATGTTCTTACCCCAAGAGAGCCATCTTTCACTATCCTGCTAAGTTAACCAGATGCCCTAATCGGATGCTGTCAGACGGTTGATCCTTTTCATTCAGGTACCATTAACTAATGCACTTTGTCTAACAGTAATAAGCAGCCTGGGCAAAATCGTCTCCTTCCTTGCTTCCCCTCAGATCCTCAATTCAATTCAAGGATTACAGCCATTCTGTATTATCTACCGTTCAGACTGGCCATTTACTTCAGAAATTATGGTTCGGTCTACCAAGGGCCACAAATTATCTATCAGTTTAACCCACTCCGGTCACTCCATTTTGTCCACCCACTCTAATGGCAGTTACTTATCATTCGGCCTTCTAATGGCAGTTACTTATCATTGCAATTTTTCTCATAGACATGGCGATATCTCTGAATACCAGCCGTAACTTTAATCTCCTATGATAAATTGAGAATATTACCAGATTGAGAGAATCAACATCCACTTCCGTTTAACATAGACTGAAAGAACTGGTTAACATACCTGAATACTACTTTTATACTTTAGTTCATCAAAACTGCTTCCTCGCCAGGATCGCGATAATTTCGGCTTTGCAAGCACAACACAGTTCTCGAATAGAAACACATTTCGAACACGTTTTTTGGACTGCAGGCCACGTTTTTCCGTAACGTACATTGTGTCGTGCCGCAGCAAACTACCCTGTTCTCGAAGGTTCAAGTCGCAACCAGTTATTCGTTCCATAGCCAGCAAATCGGCTCCACGACGAACCTGATGCCCCACTATCGCTGCCACTTTTCCCAGCATTTCCAAAACATCCTATAAAATTACACTGTGCACGCTGAAATCAAACAGTGTAAAAAATGTATAACAGACTGAAGGCCTAAATCTGTGATTTCAGTTCTTGTGTTTCCACCTAAAGCTGTCAAAAATAAACGACAATTACCGTTTTATTCGGTGGAGCGGCATTAAGAAGCTGTTGCAGTGCGAGAGCATATTTTCCTATCCTTTCGATCGGTTTGATAAGCAAATGCGATAGATCAGCGAGACTCTGCAAAACACATCATAAAAACATAATGCTACGAGCTGATTCGACAGTGGTTTGAGCAACGAATTCAAAATATTTAAAGTTATTTTTTGCAGAGCCGTAAATCCATTGCTGCGCTCTTCGCCAACGAAGTCGATGCATCATTTCGATCAATTTCAAATCCAAATCTGTCAAATTCACGGGATGAATCGATTTGAAAATATTCGAACTTGGATTTGAAAATGATCGAAACGTACACTATTAAAAAAAACAAATCTTCGCTACCCGACTACATTGCTTTCAAAAACCCATGACAGAAACAAAAAAAAGGTTGAAAAAATTACTGAATGGAAACTGGTTGTATCAATTTCTCAATTTTACCTGCACAGAACTGAAAAATTTTTGTCCAGCTTCACGCATAAGTTGGTCCGATTTTGGCTTATTTTTAGCATATAAGGCGTACAATTCAAAAGAACTGAGATTATCCAAAAACAACTGCGCAACTGTCATCGAAATCGGTTCATCTTCGGAGCGGAACCTGCAAATGCCCATAGCTTTTCAACTTTTCAGTATCATAAAAGTACTGCATATCAATGAGGGCAAGCAACCCGGGAGCCGAAGCGCCTGATAGAGCTGTGCCTAGCGTGTGGAAGCGTTTGAGTAACATCACAAACATGCCATCGTTATCGTTATCGTCAGAATTTTTATTACCATCGTTAGAATTTTTACTGCCAGTAGCATTTTTTATTATTGCCATTGTTATCGTCAGAATATCAGAAGCGCTCAGGCAACAATGGGATTACCATTGTTGCCCCGATGCTTCTGACATTCTAATGATAAAAGCGGCAATAATAAAAATCTTTTTGATGCAGAATAATCTATTTTTAAATAAGGCAATTTTCATAATTTAACAAATTTGTGAAGCTCTTAACATATTGATAAAAATGTCTTCAAAAATTATATAAAATTATTACCTTAGTCGCGAGATGAGCTGAGGCAAAAAGGAATGTGCGTGGAATTGAAAGAGTTTTTCAATATTGCCAAAGATGCACGACTTTTTACCACGCAATGCCGTCGGAATGTCAATTCGGGCCATTTCGGGCAAAAAATCCTGAAAAATCCGCGCTGTTTACGTCATAATCCCAAAGTTTAGGCAGCAGTGTTCGACATAAGAATTATTTTGAACATTAAATAAAAGTGAGAATAGCATTTACGTGAATTTCTGAAGAAAACAAAAAACCCCCACTAAGCTAAATTAGAAATAAGGCATAAAATCGGGGAAAAGAGGAAAAAAAACTACTAAAGACTTATAAAACTTACATATATCTAAAACTGTCTTCGAAATTTGCTTAAACTATCCATTCCTGTTTGAAACCTATATGTTAGTCAAAAAAATGCCAAAACTATGAATTTCATCCTGTTTTTTCATGTTTATTAAAAATATATGAATAGGAATGAACCTGGACAACAAGCCTCAGCGCACCAACATAATCGATTTCGGAATCGAGCAAATCGCGCACAACAGTACATTCAATCCTAAAATTTGCATCACTTGTCTTCGCCGGACTCAGCCAGTCCCGGATCATGTCAATTTGCTCGGAACGCATCGAGAAATCCAATGCTGAGAATGCTGCAACGGTAAAACCATCATCACACAAATGAATTAGAAAATTAAGTTGGAGCGAAAGCAAAAACAAATCAGTGAATCACACAGTATTTTCAAAAATTCCTTAAATTTTATTATTTTCCACCACACAGAAGAATTGAAACTAACAAATATGCGGTTACAGACACTTTAGGATAAGTTCGATATAACGAAAATTTGTCCCTGAGTGCCCTCCTCTACCCCAAACCAAATTACCTACCCCTCACCCTAAAACACAGCCCCATACTACAATAGTGGAACAACTATTTATTCATAGCGTGGATCTCTATCTACACAGTCGATAGTCTTTTCAACTGAGAATGCTGAATTGTTTAACGAGCAACGAACAAAAACGGGATGTTTTTGATATTAGCTTCAAAGAAAATGATTTTACCAAAACGCGGCATTTTAAGACAAACTGGATACAATTTACCTGATCCAAGAGAGGACTGGGGTGATTCAGATATGCTGCAACAATCATCATCGAGAAACTGGAATGCACTAAGAGCCGAGCGGCAATCCTGAAAGTCCCAGAAAATCGGCTGATGCAAAAAAAAAATGCAAAAAAGGCAGGAAGAAACGAAAAGAAAACACACAGGCAGTTCGATTTACTTCAAAGATTAGCTTTTTTTTGCAATAACAATGTTTAAAACAACGAAAACTAACAAAACCCACAAAAAGCTACCTGCTCCATGAAATCAGTGCTAGAAGTCCTCATCAGTGGTCGTCTTGACTTTTGCGAAACAATAAATCGAGCAGAACCTGGACGAGCAGCTCCATTTATAAGAAATGGATTTGGGAGGCGCAGCGGCACTGTACTAACCGATCGCCGTTGATCAAGCCGTTTGTGCAGTGTGTTCGACGACATCGACGTTATTACCTCAAACAAAACAAAACAGTGAAATTACTATTTAGGTTTAAACAGGAAATCTCAAGAAAAAGAAAACGAGGAGAAGGGTAGTTTGAAAATATTTGTAATTGGTAAGAAATGTTTCGGTCCATTAAGTCGTATACAAATCATTAAAGCACAATAATATAAAGATCACTTAGACAATCGCTTAAGTTCACGTTGCTGAGATGCTCCTACATGCCAGCTATATATTTATAGTTGGTACTTACCGCCTATTCAATGTATATTCACTTGTTCACGGCAATTGTCCTGACAGCTTTATATGTGAAAAAATACACTGAACTGCAGCAGTACCTTATTGGTCATGTTAAGCGTTACAGGAGCAGCTCCGATCACCGATTCCTCGATGATTTCTAACGGTTCTGCATGCACTGATGGCGCCCATGAGTTTCTGCGCCATCGAATTTCTTCCATTTCTGCTGGTTCCTGAAATGCGTCTTTTGGCTAGAGCCTGAGATTGGAAAATTGCTGTATTTCAAAAATCACCCCGTTTTAATGACTACTGACCGATCTCCACAAACGAATGTCGCTCCTATTACTGTCCTTGAGTAGCTTTTGTCAAAAAAAAAAAATTCACCGTATTTGGGCCTTACATCTGTACTACCTTTTCTCAAAAACGTAAATTTGACCCCTCCATCCATTTTCAGAAATTATTGCATAATCGCATAAGCAGCGGTAAATCAACTTGAAAATTAGCTGCCGGAAAATCCACGCTGCAAATCGCTTAAACAGTCCCTACAAATGCATAATTTTTTAAGTAACACCACACAGCGCTGAGGTCATCTTGCCTTGTTCCGTTTTACTGTGAAGCTTTATTTTTCTCGTAAAACTTTAAAAACCGGAAACATATCTGAAAAACAAACGAACCATTTGCGGTTGCTGGTGTTGCTGCTTGCTGCTGGAAGCTGATTTAGAGATTGGAATTTCATACTGCGTAGGCGCAGGACTTGATGGTTGACGTGAATCTTCTACGTTGTCCA